TTGACCCCGCCAACACCCTCTCCCTCCAGCCGCCTCCACCTGAGTTTCTGAGAGCTCCAGAAGGCCAGGCGCTCGGCCTCAGCCCTTCCAAGGCTGTGGAGCCAGGAGACGCTGCCAGGAGACGCAGAGTCGTCAACGATTGATTATTATTAAGTATGATTACTGTGGGTATTAATCACAATTGCTCGGGCGGCCCAGAGTCCCGGCCTCCAGGCATGGCAGTCTCTTCGCGCCACATTTCCGGGCCGTGCTCACGAATGTCCAAATTCCCCCTAGGGTTCTCCTCAGCCACCCACCCTAGCCACAGGATGGGGCGAGGTGGGGGGGGGAGTGTCTTCCCAGACCTGGAACTGGGGATGGGGGGGAGAAAGCGGGCGCGAGACAACCCAGGCCTAAATAAATGGCCATGCGGCTCTGTCTGCGTGACATGATCAAATTTTCATAAGCTGGGGCAGCGAGAGGAGAACAGGTCTCTTAATAAATGCCACTATTATAGAGTGTCCGCTAATGCGACGGGCGTGGGGGGGGGAGAGTGAGGAGGAGGCGGGGACGGGAAGGGGAGGGCGGCGGGGGCTCCGAGTCCAGGCCTGGATTTATTAAGAAACGATGCATTCAATTTCGGCGTGTTCAGTAATTATCTTTTATTTCATTTTCTCCCCTTCCCACCCCTCCCCCGCGGATCCAGCGGAGGTCTGCGGCGGTGGCGGCGGCGGCGGAGTCAGCGGCGGCGGGGGCGGGGGCGGGGGCGGCGGGGGAGGGGACAAGAGCCCCCCGGGCTCGGCGGCGTCCAAGCGGGCGCGGACGGCGTACACGAGCGCGCAGCTGGTGGAGCTGGAGAAGGAGTTCCACTTCAACCGCTACCTGTGCCGGCCGCGTCGCGTGGAGATGGCCAACCTGCTGAACCTCAGCGAGCGACAGATCAAGATCTGGTTCCAGAACCGGCGCATGAAGTACAAGAAGGACCAGAAGGCTAAGGGCCTGGCCTCGTCGTCGGGGGGCCCCTCCCCCGCCGGCAGCCCCCCGCAGCCCATGCAGTCGACGGCCGGCTTCATGAACGCCTTACACTCCATGACCCCGAGCTACGAAAGCCCGTCCCCGCCCGCCTTCGGCAAAGCCCACCAGAATGCCTACGCGCTGCCCTCCAACTACCAGCCCCCTCTCAAAGGCTGCGGCGCCCCGCAAAAGTACCCCCCGACCCCGGCGCCCGATTACGAGCCCCACGTCCTCCAAGCCAACGGGGGCGCCTACGGGACGCCCACCATGCAGGGCAGCCCGGTGTACGTGGGCGGGGGCGGCTACGCGGATCCGCTGCCGCCCCCTGCCGGTCCCTCCCTCTATGGCCTCAACCACCTTTCCCACCACCCTTCGGGGAACCTGGACTACAACGGGGCGCCCCCTATGGCCTCCAGCCAGCACCACGGACCCTGCGACCCCCACCCCACCTACACAGACCTCTCCTCTCACCATGCGCCTCCTCCTCAGGGTAGAATCCAAGAAGCGCCCAAATTAACACACCTGTGATGGGAGAGGGAGGGCGGAGGGGCGAGGTCATAGGGTGAGCGAGAGCCAGGAGAGGTAGGGGCTGTGGAGCTCTGGGGGGCAGCCTGGAGGTCTGAAAGAGGAGGCAAGGAGGTGGTAGCCAGGCTTCCTGGCCAGAACAGGCCTGGAGCTCCTTCCCCTCCCTTGGCCTGAGAAGTTGCTTTTTTAAGTCCTCCAGCCCTTGTTCCATCTGCCTGCCAACCCATCGGAAAGGAATCCACAGCAGATTGGAGATGACCCTATCAAGCCTAGGGCTCCAGCAATAGCCAGCTGGAATTCCACGCTTGCTCGAGAGAAGGAGGAGATAGAGAAACAAGGCAGAGAAGCACATTTTAAAAAACAGACAGGATGGCTAGGCCATCACCAACCGACTTACCTTCCATCTCTGTGGGTAGTTGCCCCAAATCTTGATATTTTTTCCTCCCAATTCCCCTTTAAAAAAAAAAAACACACACATTGCAAATCCAAGGGCACAAAACACCACCCCCTCCCACTTCCCTGAAGCCTCAAATTTCCTCCCATCTATTTGAGGTTTACTCAGCACTCCCTGCATTTCCAGCCCCATATTTTTCTGCTCTAGGACATTCATATCTCTATGCCACCCCCATCAATTATGGTTTCAGAGGGCTCAGGGATGGTGAGAGATCCTGAAAGTCAGAGCTGTCTATATTATAAATACATATTTTTTTTTCTTTTATGGAAAAGCTGGGAGGTGAGGGCAGGCAAGTCGTTAGGACTTAAGGTTTGTCCAATCTGCTGCCTCCCATCTCAGCTCCAGGTCCATCCCCCTCTCTCCACAGAAAGCAATCGGTGACACGAGGTTCTACAATTTTATTTTCTTCTGTTGCTCTCTTGACTTAACGTGAAAACAGGGTATATTTTAACAAACTGTCTGTCCCAGGCAGGGGCTGCAGCTGGGCCTGTGTGCCTTGCTCAACCTCCTGACAGGACACTTTTGTTGCACTTAGAGTTTACATTTTAATGGATATAAAAACAACTGTGAGAGATGCCTGGGCCTGTAGGAGTCCAGCATCGCTCAAAAAGCGTGTGTTCTAGTGAACATTTTCATATATATTTATTGGTTATAGCCTGTTAAAATATTTTCTTTTTTGTATTATTTATCCCCCTACATTATGTATTTATATGAGGGAAAAAATTGTACTTTTTTTAAGTATTTACTTGTTATAAAGGACGTTGTGTTTCCTGTCATGTAAAAACAGCTATTTTAGTTATTATTGTACTCTAGAAAAGAGCTGTAGATTTATGTTAAATTCGTACTTATGAGCAATTGTAATTAGTTCTAAAAGGCATGAACTCAGCTCCTAATTGTCACTGTATAGTCCTGAATTTGTAGAATTAGAGTTAATTCCCTCTTGGAACTTTCTTTGTTGTTCCGTAGTTACTTTTTTCCTTACTTAAAAGGGTTGTCTGTCAAACAATTCTTGAATAAACTTTCTGTTAACAATTTTATCTTGTCCTGGTAGTCCAATTTAGATAGCAGAGGGAGGCTGCTGACTGCTCAATTTCCCCCAAGGGAAGAAGGACACTGAAGACCCTCTTCTGGCCTTTTTGTTCACTGCCCAGACCCCTGCCTCCCCCTCGCTGTCTCAGGTTTATATAGTTTTTGTCACTCACAGGAGCCTGGAACATGCTGCCAACTTCTTTAGCTAAGATTTAAGTAACAAGTTGTGGGGGAAAGGACTCTTGGGTGCTCTCTCTAGGTCTTTTTGTTTGGCTTCTTTGCCTCTCAATTTTTCTCCTTCATTGACCTTTTGTCTCCTCACTCCTTGGCCACAACCTCCTCGCCACCCCCCCCAACACACTCCCTCAGCAACAAAAAAATCTGGCGTATTAGTGCTTCTTCCATGCAAGCTAAACTTCACAGTTCTCTTCCGGAGCTACAAAGAAGTCGTCACATGACCCGAAGCCCAACCACCATTGGGTCTAAAATGAAAACAAAGGAAAATGATTAATCTAAAAAAAATATATATATATATATATATGAGGCCTAGGCTTCTCAGGTCAAACCTTAAAACTAAAGTGAAATTAAATCACTAAATAAAACTGGGGGCGGAGGGAGAGGAAGCGCCTTCTACTTCCCCCGCCAGGGAAAGGAGAGAGGAGGAGGGTGGGAGAAGCTGCTGGATCCAAGCGTAAATAAAATGGTCCCTAGGCTAATGTGAGGCTCTGTTTCCACCATCCTTGGGAAAACTTCATTTCTTAGCCAGGGTTCCATAAAAGTTTTATCACATTGGAACGAGGATAGAGAGGGTCTGTCAAAGATGAAATGTCACCGCCGCGTCGCTGGAACCGATAAGAGCGAGGAGACAGGGCGGCTGAAATATGGAGCTAATTCGTTGAAAGAGAAGCGATGGCTGCTTGCTGAAGAGTTGCATAATTCTAATTGTAAGCGATGCACCCGCATTGCTTAATTAGGAGCATATATTTGGCGGTAGTGATGTGGTGGTTGAAGGGGGGAGGGGGGAGTGTGGGTGAGAATCATTCCAGGCCCTCAGCCTTAAAGCGAGGGCTGATTTTCATTTTTATGTTGCTTCCTGGCAGTCCAAGGTTAGTAATTACAGTCTTTATGCAACAATAAATAACAATAAAAAAGCAACCTGAATTCTACACCCCCCCCCACCACCACCAAGTAGGATTTTAACTGGACTGGGCTCATTCAAGCAGCAAGCAATTTAGCATTGGGTCAGGCCATAATTTAAAGGCATAAGAGCGTGCAAAGTTTGACTGGGATCAAATAACGCTCAGCGGTTTTTCTTTCTGTCTGTCTTTCTCTCTCTTCCTCTTCCCTGAATATCATTTTCTGAATGATGTAACTAGATGAAGCGCCATGTTTGGCTCTGGGGGTGGAGTGGATTATGTATCTAGCAGGAGAGAGGCAGGCCAAGAGAGAGAATTTAGCTCCAGTTTGAAAAACAGAGTTTTGGCTTGAAGCTGGAATTGCAAACAAGAAAAATAAGGGCTGACTGGGCTTGGTGTCCCCTGCCCTTCTCTCTGCGAGATTCCAGGCACTAGCTAAGCAGCCAAAGTCATGGGGAAAATATCTGTTCTGTAAGATTCACAGCACAACAGAGGGGCGGGGAAGCGGTGTCTCTGGGAAGGAGGGTTCTCTTGGCCCTTTTTAACACCCAAGTTTTCTGCTGTTCTCTAATCTGGCTGTAAAATCTGTCAGCAGGGTTAGAGAAAGCCGTATTTCCTGCAGGGACAGTCTCTGCCAGAGTTGTTTCTGAGAGGAGCGTTCTGGGCTCTGCAGCCAGCTGAAGAGGCTGTGAAAAAACTTCCAGGGCTTCTCAACCGGGTGGCCAGAGGGAGAATCCTCTCTCAGGCCTCAATGCACAACTTCCAGACAACTACTTGGATTCTTCTGTGTCCACCCCCACCCACAACCCCATCCCCACCTACATCCCCATTTCCACCCCCAAATGGCAAAAATTGCTAGCTTTGGAGCTGGACACAACTGTCTCTGGCCAGTTTGTCCAGTTCAGAGCAGCTCTCTCTGTTCTGAGCCCTCCAGCGCCTGCCACCCCTGGCCCTGCAGCCCCTACCTCCAGCTCCTCTTCCTCCATCCTGGCTCTCCTCCACCCCCACCCTTCCCCTCAGACTTCTCTGTCGTTGTTAAATACTCACCACCACCCACGGACTGTTACATTAACAGAAAGTTTCCAGTTCCAGCTCAGGGCTGCGTTGCCATTTCTCTGCTAACCAGCCTTCTCTTCCTTGCTGGGCAGGAGAGAGCGAGGAGGGGGAGGGGAGGCCAGAGCCGTGGGAGTTCTCCAGACAAACTTTCCACCCAACTCAGCGCCCTTCCTTCTGTTCCCATTTCCCATCTGTTTCCCGCTCTCCCGGAATCACCTTTCTCTTTTGCTAACACCCCCCACCCCCAGGCCTTTTAAAGGGATGTGGAATTTCTGCTGTTCCCTCTGCTTTCCCAAACAGCCAAATTCTTTGATGCCATCGGAGGGAGCTGTCAGGGGGCTAAGATTGATCGCCTCATCTCCTCTCCATCCCTCTGACCCACTTATTTAAAAATCTTCCCCCAGATCGACTTTTCATTTTCTGCTTTGAGATCTAGTTTCCCACCGATCGCTTGGGGCCCTGAGTCTTGTGCCCCCTCCCTCCAGTAAATTATAGCACTCTCTGAAGTTCAGACTATCTTGATCCCCTCAAATTAAAAAAAAAAAATTTCTTTCCCAAGGGGCCAGAAATGGAATATCATCTCAGTGGTCATTATTTCCATCCCCTCTGTGTTCAAGGAATTCTTTCCTGCCAAGGATTTTTTTTTTTTTTACTAGCACAATGGCAAAAATGGGAGGAGGAGTCTCTTTGTCCTAGGGGGGAAGTCCTCCCCCCATACATTGACCTGAGCTTGGAGAGTGCTCTAAGTTCAATTGGTGGCTACCTTCATTCTTGTTCATGTCCCTGGATATAAATGCAGATACAGGCTTGAGGTTTGAATGGGTGCATACACATCTTAGACCCTGCCTGTTGCGGGGGGGATCATAGACGATGGCAGATGCCTCCAGGTGAGGAGGGCAGGTGGACCCAGGGGCAGGGGCAGTACTGCAAACACAGAGAAGGGCAGAGAAGGGAACTGACACCACACAGCTACAGAGGCCAGAGATCCAAAAGGACCCCTCACCATCTATCTCACTCCTCTGTGTCAGCCTGGGAGTGCCTGTCATTTTCCAAGATTTATCTGTTGCTTTTGGGTGGGATGGGGATAGTGGTACTGATGATTGTAAATCTCCTCTCTTCCTAGTGTATTACACGTTAACACTGACCTTTCCCAAAGGGTGGAAGCCTCTTCCTACTACCTTGTCCTTCCACATGGAGATCCTCCCTCAGCTTTCTTTTTGTGTGTTGGGGGTGAGGGTGAGGGTGAGGGGGGAGAGTATGTAAAGAAAGCATTAATTTACTGTATTAAAAAATATTTGGCAAAAAGGAAGATTTCTCCCTTAGATTCTCCTGTTTTCCAGGCTTCCATAACCTCCCATCCTCTGAAGGGCACGAGACAAAGGTTCCTCTAGCTTTTCGGGAGAAAGGGAGGCATTGGAGAGATGGCGTGTAGGACTGGGGGGCTCATGGTGTCCAGGTCGTGGTCCTCTAGAGTTTTTGAATCAATTAAAGCAAATAATGCTCTCTGTTTTCCACCAGGCCCAGACGAGCCATTGGCCAAAGCCAGTCCCGTGACCACGAATTCCCTGCAATTTCACCCGAGTCCTGAGTTTAATAGAGAGAGTCCCCATACGCTTGTATTTATCAGCAATATACAATTATAAAGGCCCAAAATTAAAAAAAAAAAAAGGAGAGAGAGAGAGCAAAATCTCCCCCTCCCCATATCGCTCCATCACATAAACCTGGGGGGGCAGGAGGGGGGGTACCTTCCGATCCTCCCTCCTGACGCCCCCCCCAGCAGGCCCCCTCCCCCACCATTGAAAGCCATGAATTTTGAATTTGAGAGGGAGATTGGGTTTATAAACAGCCAGCCATCGCTCGCCGAGTGTCTGACTTCCTTCCCCGCTGTCTTGGAGACATTTCAAACTTCATCAATCAAGGAGTCGACATTAATTCCTCCTCCTCCTCCTTTCGAGCAAACCTTCCCCAGCCTCCAGCCCGGCGCCTCCACCCTTCAGAGACCCGGGAGCCAAAAGCAAGCCGAAGATGGGCCCGCTCTACCGCCGCCGCAGCTCCCCGCCGCCCCCTTGGCCCCCGAGTTCCCTTGGATGAAAGAGAAGAAATCCGCCAAGAAACCCAGCCAATCCGCCCTGTCTCCTCCGGCCGCCTCTTCCGTCCCTGCCTCCGGGGTCGGATCGCCAGCAGGTCGGTAAGAGGGGTAGGGGTGGGGTGAGGGGCAGGTAGAAGAGAGGGAGAGAAAGATCGATGGGGGAGGTAGAAAAGGTGGCTAGCTTGCTGGGGTTCCTTGCCCCCGTCGATTCCAGGGACGAGGAAGCAGAATATACCGCTGAGGTTCAGGCCTGGTCGCTGCTAGCAATTTTTTTTTTTTTTTTTTTTTGTCCTTACAGTAGCTTTTGGAAGCTGGTTGGGGAAGAGCTTTTTCTATGCTAGAAGAAAAGGATTCGATTGAGGTTTTCACCTTTATCTGTGTGCAGGAGTGAATGTGTTGTTGCTGGGGTTGAATCTGGGGGCAGGAAAAGATTCAGTCCCATCTTCTCCAGATCGAAGAGAAGAGGGGGAATTTGAGAGCTAGGAGGAAAAGGGGTGGGAAACCATCTTTCTTTACGAACCCTCTCTCCGGGCTGAGTCGGAAAGTGCCGAATAGAGAGGTCCACTCGGAGGACTTGGGAGGGGGGCTCTGAGGTTCTGGGGACGAAGAGGAGCCGCTCCCTACCCCCTGCGTGGGCCGTGGGCGGCTCTTTGAATGCTTTGCCCTGACCTGGGCTGGGTCTGCCCGCGAGAGAGACGGGAAAGAACGGAGAAGCAGTGAGAGCGAGCTGCCTAGGTAGGCGGGAAGGAGGGGGGTTGCTACTGATATTGTTTTTGGCAGATGGGGTAAGTCTTTACTTCAGCTGATCTAAGGTTGGGCTGAGGACGCGGTCCGCTTTGACGCCGAGCCTGCTTTCCCTGCAGATGGCCCGGGACTGCAGGAGGCTGCGGGCGGCGGGGCGCGCAGGCTGCGCACGGCTTACACCAACACGCAGCTGCTGGAGTTGGAGAAGGAATTCCACTTTAACAAGTACTTGTGCCGGCCGCGCCGCGTTGAGATCGCGGCCTTGCTGGACCTCACCGAGAGGCAGGTCAAAGTCTGGTTCCAGAACCGGCGCATGAAGCACAAGCGGCAGACGCAGCACCGAGAGCCGCTCGACGGGGAGCCAGCCTGCCCGGGAGCCCTGGAGGACACCGGAGAGCCCGCCGAGGAGCCCGTGGCCAGCCCCGGCTGCCACTCTGCCTCGCGGGCGGTGCGGGACGCCTGCTCTTACCCGCCCGAGGTCGCTCCGGGGCCACCGGGCGCCCCGGGCCGCCAGCCTTTGGCCACTCGCGTGGAGGACTCGGGTGCGCCGAGCCCCGGCTGCGCCCTGCGCGGGGCCGGCGGGCTGGAGCCGGAGCCCTTGCCAGAAGACGCCTTCCCGGAGCGGCAGGATTCGCCTTTCCTGCCCGACCTCAACTTCTTCGCTGCCGATTCCTGTCTCCAGCTGTCCGGAGGCTTCTCCCCCAGCCTACAAGGCTCGCTCGACAGCCTGGTTCCCTTTTCCGAGGAAGAGCTGGACTTCTTCACCAGCACCCTCTGTGCCATCGACCTGCAGTTCCCCTGACCCGTTTCCTCCTCCCGGCCCTTTCGACCCCCGCCCCCCTCGGCTGTCTGCTGGAAAACCCGAGGACGCTCCTCCCCAAGTCCTTTAGACTTCTTTATGTGTTTTGCTACAATTCAGGTATTATTGAATTAGCGTTTAATCCACTTCGTTTCTTCTCCCTCTAAAATATTGGGCATTCGGGCGTCTTTTTAAAATCAAAACGGAAAAATTCCGTTTGGTAGACTCCTTCCAACGAAATCTCAGGAATAAACTCCGGGAGGGGGGGCTTTCTTAAAAAACAACTAGAGGAACCTATTCCCCCCCTTTTTTTAAGTTTTAGACCTTAGATTATTTATTAAAATTCTTTAATAATAGGAAAAGGGAAAAGTATTTATTGTACATTATTTTCATAGATTAAATAAATGTCTTTATAATACAAAAACGAGTGTTTGTGTTGGGACCCACCCCGCATCCCCTCAGGACCTGCGCGAGGTTTGTCTGGCCTTGGGCCGGCTGAGTCCGGGTGGTACAAAAGTGCCCCTACTTGGCCGCCGCTTCTCCGCCCGCAGCTCCGGAGAAAGTCTGGAGTTTGCTAGAAGCTCCAACACCTCGCCTCCGCCTAACAGACGGCCTTTGGCCCTGCGCGGGTGTTCCCAGGCCTCTGCTTAGACATAAAGGTGGGCGAGTGGAGGGAGAGGCTGTGTTGCCAACAGAAGAGGGTGCAAAAAGAGGAGGCCTGGGGACTGGCTTGGGAGTCGTGGCGCGGGGCGCAGAGGTTCAGCTGAATTGGGGGGAGCCTAGGGTTCCCCAGGCTTCTCGCCTCAGTGCCCAAAGCGGGGTGGAGGGGCTTTTTTACCCCCACAGGCAGGAAGCCTGGGGACGCGAGGCCTGGGGACATGGGCCGGGCCAAGGAGTGGAGTAGGAGTCGGGGGTTTTCTCGGGAAGGAAGGCCCCGTGCCCAGGACGGTAACTGGCCTCCAAGTGGGCAAGGAAGGAGATCAGGTGAAAATGTAGCAGGGCCGGACATCAATGTTCTGTGGTCCCCGCAGTCACCCTAGGACTCCTGGGGTTGGGAGAGCGGCCGAGGAGTGGCGGGGCGACAAGCCCAGGGAGGCCCGGGCAGCTTCGGGAGGCGCTTGGCCTGCGGGGAGGGAAGGAGGAGCGAGGAGACTCTCGGGAGGGAGACAGGAAAGCAAGGAAGATGCTCAAAATGGCGCTGGGGCCGGGCGGCAGGGAGGGCGAGGGAAGAGATTGTGGCGGCCATGACAGCCGCTTCTAGATGCGCGGGGTCCAGCCCAGGGGATCCGTCCCCGCACCCGCCTTCTCCTTTCCGGATCTTCCGGACGACAGTGAAGAAAGGGAACCAGGGAGCCTCCTTTTGGTGTTTGTTTTATTTTAAAAACGAGCCCAACGGATGCTGAGGCCGAGAGATGGACGGAAAGTCCGCGTGGGGGTGGGAAGGGGAGGAGGCGAGCGGCGGGTCTGCAGGCCCGGGTCTGCCTCGCCGAGCCTGACTTTTGATCCTTCGCTCTGGGATTTGAAGTCCTGCCAGAGCTTTCTCCAAATGCAAACCTACCTGTCTTTGCCAACAACTTCATTTGCCACCTCAACACTCCCTCCTATCCCCCCACCGCACCCTGCCCGGCTACATGCAAACCTGGTAAGCGGGAAGAAAGGATCCATCTCCCCCATCTGCCTCCTGGTTTGTTCTGGGGAACGTGGAGATTTAAAGGGCCCTGGAAAGCCATCCATCCTGCTTAGGTTTATTTAATATTTCTCGGGCTCAGAAACAGACACCACAGGGCTACCTCCCTAGCAGATGCTGCGGTTCTCTAAAAGCAGTTTATTTCCTGGGCCTCCCAGTCTTTCCCCTGGACCAGCAGGACGGGAATTTGGAGTACCAGGCACGGAGAGGCAACAACTGTCAGGAAAAGCCAACATAGGTCATGACATATAGGGCTAGACAGGCCCTCGCGTGTTTTTTTAACTGGTGCCTCAGTGTGGAAAGTACACACATCTTATTCAGCTGGAATTTAATCCCTTAAACTGTCTTAATATAGAATTCATCTCCTGCATTAAATAATCTTATGTCGTGTTAAATTGCACTCATTTCTTTCATAAATAAATTAATATAGAACAATTAGATGTGTTATTATAATAATATCGTGTATCTTATTAGTTTATTTTCCCTCATAAAATATATAGGTATGAAACAAATTCAATATATTAAAGTAATAATACACAGCTTATTGGCTTGTGTGTTTATTTTCCCCATAAATAAGTGAATATACAATATATTAAAACCACACTATACATCTCATTGGGCTGTGTGTTTATTTCTCCATAAAATATGCCCATAGGCAATGTTTAACATCTTAAAAATCACAGCACATAGCCATCTCTACACTAAAAAAATGAAATAGACATTTCAGCTGGGGCTTTGATTTCCGTGGACAGCCAAACCAGATAATTTGGTCTAATTAAAAATGCTCTTTCAGCTGTAGCAGGTTGTTACAAAGATCAAGAATACCAGGAGGATCTTGCTAATTGCCCACCTTCCAACTTTCTTTGGTCAAAAGGAGAGCACCCTTCATCAATG